GATTGTTCGCGATGTAAGCAATAATAAAATGCAGTTTTCATATTAGTTCAAGGAACTTAGTTTGCGAACGATCGTCAGCGGGAGATCATTATTTTAACCCCGCCTCCCCCTTTGAATATTATAAATAATATATATATTTAGTTTTATCTTTAACCCCCCTTCCCCGCTCACGGCATATCTTCGGCGGAGAATCGTTTGCGTACTATCGTCAGGACTTTGTTCGCGTAAAATCGTCAGAGGGAGATCGTTCGCGATCCGAGCGAGACGTCGAAAAGGCAATTTTCACATCTTCATCGGGAGATTGTTCGCGATGTAAGCAATAATAATAGGCCTATGCAGTTTTCGTATTAGTTCAAGGAAGATCGTCAACGGGAGATCATTATTTAACTCCCTGTAAATTTTTAGGAAGTTACAGATGGTATTTTTAGAAGGCCTGACACTCAATCCTGGGAAAAGCCTTGCATGCAACAAACGTTCCCATGTGCGTAATTTTTTTAACATGTCGCGTCCAGGTTATGATGCAAGGTTGCAATTAGGCTTATCTTGATCCTTCTCCTCTATCAGGAGGTATGTTTCTTACCGAGAAAATAATTCTCAACATGTTTTCGGGTACAGTAAGTTAAATATAACTTAATCGAGATGCACTAATAAATAGATTATTATTTACCACCAGAAAATGACTTAGGAAGTAGTGATAAATATCCCACCATATAGGAGGGTCAAAGATAACAGTCGCTAAGGAAGAAAGCCCAAAGGCCGGATTTTTGAAAATTTCGTCATACCCAGGAGTCGGGGAGAGGTAATTTTGAAAAATTAGTCGGATTTACTCAATTAAAAATATTAATTAATTTTTAAGCGACGAAATTTTCAAGACTTTACCGTATAGGAATAACATTTACATTTTGTCAAACTTTAGAAAACTACGTGGACAGTGATCAACAGAGAATCTTGACGTCATGCATAGATCCACCAGAAGTGTTGACCCTCCTCCCAGATCAGGTCAGGCTCATGCAGGCTTACAGGACACAGCTTGAAAACATAGGTGAACACCATGTTCAAATGAATGCCTTTTTGATAAGATTGCCTTAATGTACTTGTGTATGTTTGACTCAGTGTTCTTATGAATTGTATCTATACAATTGTTATATTTTATGTCAGAAACATACTCTTTGTGTTTCATTCTTTGTTGCAGATATGGCAAATATATATATTAAAATAGGATTTTTAATTTTTTTTAATGTGTATTTGTTTTTAGACCTTTAATTTTCAACCTGGTCATGTTATGCTGCCACTCATGTCTGTTTTAGATATAAGTAAGTCCTAAATTAAACACATCAAGTCATACAATTTTTTTTCTTCTCCAGGTATACACTTCCAGTGCATAGAAAGTACTAAGGACAAAGTCCAGTTTAGTAAAGTTCCAGCATGTTTTGTTAGCAAAGAAGTGTCTGAGTTAAAGAGGAAGAGGACATCAGTATTAGTAGATCTTTTAGAGGTATGTAATATGAAGGTTGTGAAGTCTACATGCCTGTACATCAGATATTAAGAGTGTAACATTGTTTAGCTGCAGGGATTTGTTCTGAAAAAGCTTTACACGAGTAGTTATGGAAAAGTACAAAACTCTTACAAAATTGTGATTCATTTATTTTATTTCTGATGAGGTGTCTGACAGTATGCTTTATATTGTTACAAAGGTAAAGCTTCAGACTCTAACACTTACTACATTTAATATTTCTAATGAGTTTGTTGTATTTTTCAGAGTTTGGTCACAGAGCAATTGCAGGTAAGTCTAGTGGTTAACTTCTTGGTATGCAACTTTTTTCTTCTTTCAAATAGATTTATTGCAGTTCTTATAGATATGATTTGGTAACTAGTGCATTTCACAATATTAAATGGTGCTATTTTAATTATTTAATTGCAGCTTCTCCAGTCCACATCTGGTGGTTCCAGAAGATTGCCAAGAGTGATTCATCAAGTACTGTGTTCACAGGCTTGCCATGGTATGGACTCTTCATTTTACCTCAGGTGTTTAATGTAATGTATATTTGATAATTATTATATGAAGTAATGTTAAATAATTTGATGTCCATGTTCTGTCCAACATCTGCTTGTGTGATAATTACGTAGATGCCATAGACCTCTTGAAGATATTTTTTCAAACTTATGCACAATTCATGAAAAGGAACGTTTTTCTAATGTGAAGTTAATTATGATATTTATTTGAAGCAATCTTACTTGCTATTTAGGTGCTATTAAGTTTGGCGATCCCCTGACCCTTGAGGAGTGTAACCAGGTTGTCCAACAGCTGTCCAAATGCGATCTTCCCTTCCAGTGTGCCCATGGACGGCCATCTATCATGCCTTTACTGGACATGGACCTACTAGACAGGAAGCTGGCCTGTCAGGTAATATTTAAGCATCAATTATATGGGTTGAGTAGGTAAAATGATGAATGAATTATAACAGACAGTGTTTGAGAAATGAATTTTTAAAAAATACAATTTTTAAAAAATCTTCATTGTACTGGAAATTATTGATAAATTTTTCTTAATTTTTTTTTCTGATAATTGTGTAATAGTGCAAAATAACTACAATATTTTGTCATGTAATGGTTTTTATTTTTTTATTTGCAGATTAAGTCCAGAAAACCATGCCTACACCGCCTGTGGCAGAGAATGCTTCAAGAAAATATAAGCAGTGAGGAAATAGAAAGTGAAAACAATGGAATTAAACATTCATGAATATTAACTGATACCCATTTAAGGTGTTATTTATCTCCATGTTGCATTTGTTATTGTTTGTGAAGTACAGTTTGGCCTTCGAGTGTCCAAACATAGTAGTCATCCAGATCTCTGTCATGCACATTGGTGAATGAAAAAAAATGTAACTCTCATGTAATTTTCCATATGACATTGATGAATAAAGAGTAATTACCCATTTCACTAATTCAAAGTGAAATTGTCTGTTTTTTAGTTTACACATATAAGAGTAATAAAATTTTTATTGCAACTTTATGGTTAAGAGTGCTTTATGAAAAGTGCCAACTTCAAAGTTTCTCTGGCTATGTAACGTCCCTGATATTATAAATCTTAAAAGCTCTGTTTAGCTAGAGATTGGAACAGAACTGATCATTTTTATGTACAGACACAATGAATGATCACATTGTTCAATGTGTCTGAACATAAAAGTGTCGCCATGCTTTTTTCACTGTTTTAACATTAAAATGCAATAAACGGACAACCTTGTTAGTACAAGAAGGACTCTTAGGATTACAACAGGGTCTGAGTTAAAAAAAAAAAAACAGCCCGTTTGTAGTTTTACTTCAAGTTAAGCTTTTTTTCACGTTGACGTTTGTAAGGTGTGAAATCCTCATAGTTATAGTTTCTGAATGTTGAAATTAACTACTGAAAATTGGTGTTGATTATGCTGTTAACCGTTGTGTACTGGTAATATTGCTTCAAATTGACAAAAAACGTTTTGTTCATCGTCATTGTTATTTTCTGCTTTACTGTCTTGTTTTCCCTAAAAGGGGCTAAAGGATGACCTGGTTTGTCAGACATGTCAAACACTGCTCAGGTAAAAGCATGCGGTTGACCAAGTTAGGATAGTCGCTGACCTACATAATGTCATTTCATTTTTCGGTGGGTTGGGGGCTGGCGTTTGTTTTCTGCTGGTATCTTTTGAAATTTACATGTACGTTGTTTAAGACTAATGCTTCCTAATCTTAACGAGCCTACACGTTGGAACGAGATGTCATTTCTTCCTCAGTTCTGAGCGGTCAGAGAGTGGCGAGGCGGTGTAGGGACTAAGTATACGAATAATTTAATTTCAGTGGAATCTAACTAGGGCATGAGCCGACCACCCCCAACACAACATTAAGACATAAGTGTTTGCCCACAAAACGAAAGACAACCAACGAAAATAGAATAAATAAATATTTACACGCTTCATGGTAACGTATGTATCATATTTACGTAACAAAGAGGAATGAGCGCCGTAAAAACATGCGTGCGCACATATACAACGTCGCACGTACTCACAAAGTCGTGACAACAGACAAAAAACAATGAAATAAAAAATTATCTTCATGTATGTATCGGTAACATATGAATCATATGAATGTAATATATAAGAAAAGCGACGTTAAAACATGCGACAGCACATGTGCGACGTCTCACACACCCACACAGTTGTGACAACAGAGAACAAACAATGGAATCAGAAAAACACCTTCACATTATTTGGTAACGTATGTATCATATTTACGTAACAAAGAAGAATGAGCGACGTAAAAACATGCGTGCGGACATACATGTATACAACGTCGCAAGCACCCACAGTCGTGCCAAAGGACAACAAACAATGAAATCAAAAAACAATGTTCACGTTCTTTGATAATGTTTGTATCATTTTTACGTAACAAAGAAGAATGAGCGACGTAAAAACAAGCGTGCGCACATATACAACGTCTCACGCACCCACATAGTTGCGACAACAGAGAACAAACAATGGAATCAGAAAACAATACCGTCATATTGTTTGGTAACGTATGTACATACTTACGTAACAAATAAGAATGAGCGCCGTCAGAACATGCGTGCGCACATATACAACGTCGCACGAACCCACAGTTGTGACAAAGGACAACAAACAATGAAATCAAAAAACAAACAACGTTAACAACGTTAACAACAACAACAATCTAAACGCAATTTGGTAACGTATGTATCGGTAACGTAGGCCTATGTATCGATGCATACGTTACATGTACCAAATTGCGTGTAGGTTGTTGTTGCTGTTTACGTTGTTTTGAAACAAGTACTTTTTCAAACGTTACTATTAAATGAAAAAAAAAAGCAATTATTGCCAAGATATTCACAAAATGTTTTTAAAACTTATTATTTAGCTCTTCGTTTTTACCATTAATTAAAATCTCCATAAGAACACAGAACATTCCGAATTATTAAGATTTTAAGAAAAACTGTGCATTCTGAAAATTTATACTCATCATTGATACTTGATCATAGTATTCTTTGAAACCTTTATTTAAAGTTGACATTGGTGTATTTGTCTTATAATAGATTGCTATTTTCTTCGATGATTATTTTTGTCCAATCTTGGTTGTGTCAATGATATTGAAAATTAAGAATGCATAAAATATCGTGTGAGCGTTACCCCCAGCACGCAAACGTCGTCCTCAGTCTTTATATGCTGATACATGCACACAAAACCAAATAGTAGCAAAATATGATTAATTTTGTTTTTGTAAGATTTAATAAATTCAGCTTATGCCTAAAATCGTTTTGTTTTCTTCGCGTATATACGGAGCGAAAACAAATCTGCACAACGTGCTAATTAGGAAAGGCATAAAGAAATGGGATTTACTAGTTTATCATTTTAAGCATTTCAAAGGGCAATATTTGTACAAAAATAAAACGGTTACCCAAAAAAAGTACATGAACCCTTTCAATAACATAACAAATTAAAAATCAGAAAATTTTAATAAAGTCAACTCTGGTCACTGGTGATCAAAAGACACCCAGCAAAGTAACACAGCAGGACAAGTAGGACTGGCATCCCAGCCAAGAAATATAGAACTTGGAAAATACCAAGATGCAAGAACAATTCTTAATTGAACGCTGACCTGCAAGCCTTTGGTCAAATTATTGACTCGGAAATATCAAACCAAAGTGTTATGGTTTATATTTTGACAGGATATTGATATTTCATTATTTGTTGAGAGAAACAAAATACTATGAAATAGGCAATTTTCTTTGGCATATTTAGAATCAAACAATACTCAAATATAATAATAAATGGCTACTCCTCTCAATCTTTTCTGGCGATTTCCAGTTAAATTGCGTCACATTTCACATTGAGAAGAGTTGGTCTAAAAAAACTTGAACTATTTAGGAATGCTCACCCCCCCCCCCCCCCCCCAGGAAAAACTTACGCCTTGCGATAGCTAAAGAAATTAATATGGTTTCGATTAGCATTTTTCGGAATTTAAATTATGATAAAGGCCAGTTCTAGACTGACCTTTAATGGGAAAAAAATATATCCTCGTTGCGTGCGATTTTTCATTTGATAAGTTTTTACACAATCCGCTGTGGCGACCCCTGATACAGGGCAGGCCCGAAAGAGAAATAAGATTTCATCGATATTCTAAAAACATGCACAAAGACAAATTTCTTATGTTGTTATAATGAGGTTTAAAACTAATACCTACTGCAAAAATTACTGTATATAAACATAATGGTACATGTATTTACTTACCAGTATATATATTTTAATACTGTCATTAACAACTACTGAAAAATTGTAAGAGATATAAGAACAAATATTTTCTACTGGAATGTTGTAGCCTAACCAATTATTATTGATCGATCAATGTATCAAATTTCAATATCACAGTATCAGTTACACAACTACAGCAATAAATATGTAAAAAATATGAAACAATACATTAATGCAACTAACTGCACAGAATCTAGAGATTTTAATTTTAATTTAACATCTAAATACGAAGGGAAAACGTATATATATAGACATGCTGAAGGTACATGTAACCCTAACAGTGTCATGTAACAAAACCTTTCCATCAAAGAAGTCATTAGATCTTGGCACACTGGAACCGCCAAATATCCATTTTCCATTTGCGCCATTAAAACCTTTAATTTCTAAATTGTTATTAGAAACTTGAGCCTTTTTTGTAACTACATGTATGCTTCAGTTTACGAAGACCAAACATGAAATTATTCTCTGACTGACTGATTGATACATTACCCGTAGTTTTTTTTCATAAATAATATTAAAAGGTGATTTTTTTCTACAGCTAAGTGTCTGTTTTTAAAATTCATTGTGAGTGAGTTTGTTATTAATGCACAAAATGAATTTATAACAATAATAAATAAATAAATAAATAAAATAGCCAAAACAATGATTTTTTATACACAAAATATTTTGTCTTTAAAAGAAACAATGAAAAAATGTCTTTTGTATACAGCACCAAAACTGAAAACTCAAACACACAAATAATTCATTTGAAGCACAAACATTTTTTTCCTATTCAGACAACAGCTTGAAAGTGACAGACATCCAGATCATGTTTTGGGAGTTTTCTTTTCACTTGAGTTTTGGCACTCGTCTGAGCTGTATATAGGCCAGGAACATGAATACTACTGTCATAATTCCTAGGGCCATTTCATTGTACCACAGGTCCCAGGCAGTTGCATAGGTTATACCTTGACTATCTAGGTAAACTGTCCCTGCTTGGCTGATATGAAAAAAAAAAAGATAAAAACATTAATTTACTACAAAGAAAGCACGAAATACATAATAGCCTTCGGGGACGAGAAAAAAAATTAAAAAATGGTGACACTTTTCGTTCAAAATGCAAATCAGTCCAATGAGACTTACCAAGTCTGGGTTCCATTATTTGTATCACAAAAATTCAGGTCTTTCATTTCATTCACCGTCAAGGCCTGAAGTTGAAAAACAGGTCATAAAATGACATGAAAATGAAGTGCAGCAGTTTATCTTAATACTACAGCCCGAAGGAAAGACGTTACAAGAGTTTACAAACAGAACTGTCAGAAAGTTCACGATTTTCTACAGGTATTCAAATCACTATACATAAAAGACATACAGAGTAGGCAAGAGTTACAGGACATACTCACATCTATACTGTATCTAAAGAGACTGAGCCATTTAATCCACTTCAACCAGTCACCAATGGAGTCCAGATTGACCAAAAGACCACTGAATATCTGTAATGATATTCAGACAGATTTTCTCTGATAGTTGTTTTGTTACGTATGAAGTTTAGAAGGAAATAATTATAAACCAAAATTTCTTGCTTGTAGAGAAAGAAGAGCCAACAAAACGAAATGAAATAAGCTATATCGTAACCAATGTAAAACATTACATAATTGACCAAAACCTCTTCATAAATGCAAGTGAAAGCTGGGCACTTTATTAAGTAAAGAAATCGATCAATTCATATAGCCAGCCATGCGTTTAAGAAAGAAAAGACGGCCCACGTTTTTTTTTTTTTTTTTTTTTTTTTTTTTTTTTTTTTTTTTTTTTTTTGTAACTGTGTACATCTGTTTACATTCGTAAATTCAAAACGAACTACATGTAGTTATTATCAGCTGTAATATCTATACAAATTACCAAAGAATGTGTGCCCTTTGGCAAAGCTTTAGGTATAACCTTTTTACAGTCTAGATTACATCTGCCGAGGAAGCCATACGATGAAGCCGTAAACGATATCCCGTTTTTTTTTACATCGCAAGTGGCTCCTGCGAACAGCTTTCATTCTCAGTGCAGTTGCGGTAGAGCTTCGGGCGGTAGATCGATACTTTGTCGGTATACAGCCCCCTACGATTTTTAGTAACATGTGGTGAATAATAAAACTTAGTTTTTAAACATGTTCACTGTTATTAAAACTCCTAAAACCAGCAAACAGACGTGGTGGAAGGGAAAGGGTTCAACAACAGGTTCAACCATTATCACGATCACCGCAAGTCCACCGAACAATGCCCATAAAGGAACTGTGCATTGTCATCTACAATATTGCTACGGCCTATGCGCTAACGATCTTCAAAATTTGTCATAAATTGCTTGACAAATCGTAGAGGCTATCTGGGCCATGAATTCGTACGATTTTCCACGGCCACGAAAGGGATATTACGGGCAGTATGTGTACCGTACGGACATTGCACGGTGATTGCATGCTTGGACATAATTATTATGTCCAAGTTGCATGGCAACCTAGGCCTTGGAAGAATTTGTTTCATTCGGAACTTGCGGAACTTTTTTACTTCATTTCCTGGCCAACTGGTTTTCCGTACTTACCAAAGTTACAGCGAGTTCAAAGAAATAAAAATAAATTGATGCAGTATTGGTAATTACACCGTCCTAGTTTTAAGTATCGTAAACTTTTTCTTTCCAGGCAAATTTGTGACAGCCTAAAATAAAAGCGCCGAAAAAGCGTTTACAACACGATGGCCGAACATACCCTGGATTTGTTAAACAGATAAAAATACGTCACTTTATACTTTGTCATTAGCGTTTAACTTGTTATGAAAGAGCAACCAACAACAATTCAACTGATCCTTTTCGGTCTCTGTTACATTTATGTAGCACAAGAGGACTCGCATAAAAACGGTCCCCGCAGCCGTGTAGCTTGTGTCATATGCAGTGTGTCGATAATTGGGCATTTGTATGACTAATGAATATTTCAATATTCATGAAAATGACCCGAGTTGCCCTTTGCCTTCGCACAATTCACGGACAACTGGGGATTCAGAAATCCATAAATCAATTCAAATCGTGTTAATTTCTTTTATTCATTTAAACAGTATGAATGCGGTTTCAGTTGCTGTGTTGCGTCTATTGATGCAAAGTTAATCTCCAATCCTTCCTTGTCATATTTTAGATATGCATAGTCTCAGTCCAAACATGACCTTCATTCATATCTGGGCATTATCCAACATAACCATAAAAGGTAATGTAAATCTTATCACGTACTTTGCTTCATGAATCAACAAAGACCCAATTTGATAATAAACTACATTTATATTTACAATATTCAAATATGGGCAATTACGCATAGGTCCAGTTTGATAAGGATATCATAACTGAGCCAATAATTGAATCGATCGTGTCGTCTGATGATTCACTGGGAGACGGTCCCTTTGTTTTCCTATCACCTTCGTGTATGAATACCTGACGGTGACAAGGTCGTATAAAACCAAGTGAGGGCATAGTAGGCGTCTCTTGTCACAGTCAGGAAGTTGAACTAATTAAACGTTTCCCAGGCGTAGGGTGTGGTGATAGAGTAATCAAAATGGTAGGTGTTGATTTTGAGTTGTTTTCGACTGCTCTGAATGTTATTTAAACGTCAGTTACTGTTAATTAAAAAGAGAGATCGAGATCAAAGTCCACATCCAGTAGAGGTGGTACCCCGTGTGTTCTGTCTTAGAAGACATTACCGGTACTTTTCATGTTTTCGGTTTTACGTGTTAGATAGTGAATGAAATCATTTTTATCAATTAATTAAAAGAAAATATACCAGTACAATAAAATTGGGACGCTTGAGCCTGATACTTCAGACTACTGCCGGCGAAGGTTCTATTAACAAGGTGATCAGCATGTTTTGTTTTCACTTCCGTGTTTACCTGAAGTAACTTTTGCCTAGAAATTGGGCCTTTATTTCCACTATTTACTATCAGCTTTATATATATATATATATATATATATATATATATATATATATATATATCAGTATGTGTGTTTTAAAAAAAATGGGAAGTTTTACAGAACTACAGTGTACAGTATATACCTGTAAAATAAGGAAATGAACAATTAAATATCACCATATACTAGTACGTATAGTTAATACATTTTTTTTGCATGTGTCCTTCCCAAATAAATGTTGCCAAATATGTAAAATTGAGAGCTATTATGATTCAGATTATTGATGACAATATTTTTCAATGCAGAACCTGTTTGCACAACACTGCCGAATTGGCAAGCAAAGCATTCCCACCTCTCATTTTATTACCCCAGTCTGGTTATTTCTGAATCCATTTATTTCAGTCGTATATATTTTCCAGTTTAAAATATTCTGTACAAACTCAAAATTTGCCGTTGTTAATCACCAGATGTACCTATTAAAGCATGACAAGAACTCAAAATTAGTATCTGAGTATGGTAGTCATTGATTTTAAAATTCTTGAATGACCTTGTAAAATAGTAATTATGTAAAATAAATGTTGGAGAGCTGAGGATGCCAACCAGTGCATGTCAACTTTCATCTGGATTGTATTGATCAAATCTTGTACTGCACATTTTCAGTCGTCAGCTTCAGGAGTAAAAATATTAGACACAGTTATCGAAGACTATCAGAAATTGCAGAAAGACCAGACACTCAAATACATCATCTTCAGCATTAAAGCACACAATGGAAAAGACTACAGTGCTATTGATGTTCACTGTAAATCAGAAGGTAATTGAGGGGGGGGGGGGGAGTGGATTATAAGGGTAAAATTGCATTCTTTGTAACTGCATATGTTTTATTAGGCATAATTAGTGTTACAGAGAGGGGTCTGAGTTTTTGAGGTTATGGATGTCTGTTAAAAGCTACAAATGTACCATGCTCTTCCTTAATTATAAATCATTAAAAATGCGGAAATGTTTTTTAACTTTTCTTCAGAGAAGAAGCGTAGCAAAGAGGAAGATATAAGTGAACAAGGTAATAAATTGGTCCTCAGTGCCTCTAACAATATTCAGAGAGTAAGTTGCTAAACATCTTAAACCAACTTTGATGTCTTTCTTTGTTTAAATGGCAAAAAACAGGAAAACCTGAACGTGGCAAGAGGTCTCTTTTAGGGGATGCTATTGCTTTTATGTTGTGACTACACCAGTGTCCCTTTAAAATCTAGCTTTAAAATCTGTCTTTTCATTTTTTTTTGTAGAAACTTTGTTTGAGGAGTTTACAGAGCATTTGAGAGAGGCAGAAAAGGCAAATGAATGCCGCTATGGTCTCTTTGATTTCTGCTGTAGAGACAGTGCTGGTCATCCCAGACAGGGTATTGTGTTTATTGCCTGGTGAGTAGAGATGGTGATCTGACTGGGTGCATGACAGAAGTCCAAAGGATCAATAGTCTGAAAGTTCAAATGTTCATCATAGATACTTCACACCAATGAACATTTTTATTTAAAAAAAAAATCATGAAAATGTTATAGTATTTTCAGAGCAGTGAACCTTTGAACTGTTGAGGTGCACCTATCTGATTTACTGAAGCATGCACACACAATCTCCCCCTTCAATTAAACATGCATAGCACCCACAGCTGAGGGTTCATTCACAGTGAAACTACCATTCTATGTAGATCGATCCAACTCTGTAGATTTGCAATCAAATTAGAAGATAAAAATAAGTCCTGAAAACAAGAGAAGGCATGTTAATCTGTTAAAATTATTGCATTCAGCAAGAGTCCCCATGGAGTTGGATTGATCTATGTAGACGGGTAGTTTCATTGGGAATGAGTCCTCAAAGGGAATGTGAGTACAACTGCATAAGAAAAATAAATCAGCAGAATGTCAGTTTTATCTTCTAAAATGAAACATTGTAAGACCTTTTTTTTCTAGGTCACCAGAAAATGCCAAGACCAAAGAAAAAATGGTGTATGCCAGCAGCAGAGATGCACTTCAGAAGAAATTTGATGGTGTGAAAGTAATCATACAGGCCACAGATTATGATGAAATTGACAAAGATGTAGTTGAGAAAGAACTTGTGAGAAAGCTTTATTCATAAACCAGATGAGTGAGAGCTTTGACTGTAATTTAGGACCTGTATCCCACAAAGACTATTGTCTTAGCATGTGTTAAATACTGATGTAAATTATTTTTTGCATTGAAGGAGATAGAAAAATAGCAAGAACAATAAACAATTTTTTATTAAAACAGGAACGAATGATGGTTTGGACCTAAATTTAAATAATACATAGAAATCCAAAAAAACTGAAAATATCTATGACTCCAGTACAAGAGGTGAAGATCAACTGCTTTATGCAATCCATGCACCTTGCCCTACCCAAACCAGTTTGAAGGTTTTAAAAGGAGAGAAATTTAAAAAAATTATGAATTAAATGAAGTTTTGTATAGTTTAGACATTTGAAGGATGATGATATATATCTTTATATAACTGACCAGGATGTTTTCCGAAGCTTTTTTAAATATTTTAGCACATTTAAATAATGTGTCTGCAATATCTAAAAAATGACATAATCAGTTTTGCTACATACATTAGTAATCTGAAGAAATAAAAAATAAAATAAAATGCAAATAAATGTCATTTATAGATCAAAATGATTTGTTCTTTCAAAAGCATTTTTTTCTTTTTTTGTGTGTGGGTGTGTGTGGTGGTGGTGGTGGGGGGGGGGGGGGGGGGTTTCAAGCACGTGTTTGCCAGTATGCCATATTGCACTGTTTTATATGGATAGGGTGAAGAGGGACTTTCCGTTTTCCTCCAAGCATTACACATTTAATGTATCCTTCCTTGTTGCGAATACAAAAACATAATTTTCCGGTGGAGGTATGAACATTTATTTACACACGTCTTGACACAAACTGATGACGGTGAACTGAAATAATTGAAACAAATGAAACAAATGAAAGTAACAGAATAACAAAATATAAATTTCAACTTAATACAAATATCACAATAAAGAAATTACAATAAAACACATATATAAAATAACTAAATACATACATAACAATGCTGCCTCCACTCATTCGCGTACAGTACTAGGCGTGTTCCAACCATGACAATACATGGTGACGTTTTATTACCACTCAACAGAACACCAATCATTCAACATATGAGGGCGCCACTCACACCAAGACGAGACAACACAAAGTAAACATGACAAACAACACAAACAAACGAAACAAAAAATTGCCGACGACACTGTCGGCAACATTCCTCTTTATCACTGTGGTTACCTTATGATAATCATAGCATTTCTGGTTAAGTAATATTTTCTGAGGGAAAGACTGAAATCACTGCATGGATCCATCTAGATAAAGAAGCATAACTGACTTACACGTATATTGTAGCATTCCCAGCAGACAAATGACATTGATTCACCGCTGAATCAACGTTAATTTTGGTGGATCAACGTTGAATCAACATAGAATCAATGTCGTTTGCCTGCTGGGTTGCCTATTCCTTCCTCAACAATTCTTGCTTCAGTTCAATTGATAAAATCAAAGTAACTCTGACAGGCAATATTTTCACACTAATATAAGTACCACGCAGTTTGGCAAATGTATAATATCTTTGTTACATGATTAATATAATGTTTACTGTTCCACAGTGCAGTGACAAGAGGTCAATTCTTTTTAGTGAGTTGACCTAGTCAACCTAGTCACCTAGTCAACTCACCCTGCCACCTTGAATCTCCGTTTTGGATCTACATGAGCTAAATACCTCACCAAGTTATCAATGTGTCTTACTTATTTTCAATTACCTTAAAAACCTGTCAACATGTAACAAAGCTGTTGACTTGTTATTCCTACTTAACTCATTTTATTGGTAAAAACACCTGCTGAAATAATATTTTTTAATATTCAATATTTTTATATGTCAAATAATAAATAAACTAAATAAAATTAAACAAAAAAAACTTCAATTTGAATTCTTCTATGGTCATAGCATTACCTTTTTGGCAGTCATCTCAACATCTGTATAACAAAGGCCATAAAGTAACCCAATACTAATGTTAAGTAGAATTTTGACTGCGTATGCCTGTAGAACTTCTCATTGTATGAGATGCCAACCTGATTAATCTCTTTATTTCTGATAGCAATTGTTACCTAATACACAGTCTTGAAGCAGGTATTAATTGGTCTATACATATTACTCACCATCATAAAAACATATGTCATGGCAATGAGAAGGTTGGCAATGGCTATGATTCTGACTGATGCGCTGACAAAGAAAGCATAAGCTGAGGCTGTCAATGTAGTGAGGACCAAGTTGAGTGTGAAGAAAAAGAATTTCCCTGCATCTGCTTGAAGGCCTAGAATGAATAATGCATTGAAGTTAAAAGTCTGTATCCTTTGTTTAAAGCATATTTTTATATTAAAAGTGGGATCTGAAATCATTAAAATTTTTACATACACCAGCAGATTAAGAAATCAAGTCCAATATAATAGACAATTATGGTAATGACTTTATATTTTCAATTGAGAATATTTAGAATCTTAAATATTCATAATTTTGGCATCATTAAAATTATATTTCTATAAAGCGTCTGTGGTACTTTTACTGTATACAACAGAACATAAAGAATACTATAGGGTAGCTTGCTTTCCAATTTTGTTCCTAACACTCAACAGAAATGTAACAGTTCTAATTTTAAGAATGTATGACTTAAAAGAATACAGCATCTGTAAAATCCACAATTTTTCCAATTGAAAAGATCGAGTAACAACTGAAGTCACTGGCAAATCCATTCACTGGCTGTCTATACAATTACAATAAAAATATTTCATACCAATCATCCAGTAACTGATGGCAGAGAACAGCAAAACTGGCGTGGTCCTAGGAATCAGATCACAGAAAACTTTGGCAAGAAAATATGCAGACACTCTGTAGAACCCACTTGCATTCTCATGCCTAAGATGAAAGAAATATTTTGTTTAGCTATGTTTTATTTACTTCTTAGAATATGTTTTTAAAATAATTAAATATAAATTTCAAAAATATATAACAAAATAATGTAAAAGAAAACTGTACCTCTAAAAAATTTATTGAGACATTTTCATTATGAAACACAATTTTTAAACTTGCAAAAACAGTGCAATTCTAAAACAAATGTCTACGACACTGAATTAAATCCTGATAACAAAGTATTAGTGTATTTGTGTATTTAAAAAGAGTAATTTTAGTGAATGTATTCATAGCATAAAACTTACATGAAAATGCTTCTTTCCTTTAAAAAAAGTTCAATAGCTGATAAATTTGAAAATACCATATTCATCACGATAAAGAAGAAGGCACCAACTCTGAAATAATCAGAAATTAAAAACTATCAGAAATCTCAAAATGGTGCTTAAAGTCTGTAGATCCTCTCCTTAATAGTTACATTAAGCCCATGTATTATTTTTCTTTCCAAAATCATCACCACTTTCCCTCCTCCTCCCCAATATTATCATAATTACAACATTCTACCAAGTTTTATATATGTTGACTGAAAACCATATGTTTCTTCTTTCCACACATACTAGTACATGTAGAATGTCATTATATAAATATACCACATATGAATTGAAATAACCTTGCATGAGCCCATTAATAGATACTGTATAGAAATTACTACAGTACCTGTTTTGTATTCCAGACTTGAGTGATGTGTCAATCTGCCAATAGATAGCACCAACTATAACCCCCAAGAAGATATTAACAACAAACTGAAAATCGAAGAGCAACATAGAGAATTATTTTTAAAAAATGCTAAGGAAAAAGACATTGCTTTAAAATGCTGCCATCTATCATTCGTGTATAAATGAAACTTGAAAACAAGGGACAAAATGCAAGAAGACTTCATAAGAAATTCAGAAAAGTAAATATGTTTCAATTACTCACTCATTCACTTGGTTTTCAATTATGAACATCAGCATGTGCCTTTACATAAAATGTCATTCAAGTATATGGTTACAGTCTTCTAATTGACCTGTAAGAAGACTGTCTTGTTCCATCTCTTTCATTTTTCTACAATGTATGCTACTTACCTGGAGTAAGTTGGCCTGAGGATTCCCAATAATATTCTTCACTGTTCTCTTTGACACATTCCAAAGCTAAGACAATTAAAAGCATCGGTTCAAGTTAAACTGATGAAATGCAAAGAAAATGAATAAACATAAATTTGCTCGGACAGTGCATAAATGCCACACATACGTACATAAAATTAAAACTTAAAAACATTATTCTTTGGTCCTATTTTGCTTTAGACAAATGACTAGTTTTTCACAAATGCATGAATAATTGGTAAAGGCAACCATCCCCCTCTTTTTCTCTTAAAACGATGCAATTTTTTATAAGCATATCATAATGGTACAAAAAAAGCACCATGACCAATTTAACTGAGATGAACTAACTGCAAATATAACTAGCTGCATATTTTACTTCTACAAAAAATTTTCTTTGTGGTAATGATATAATATATAAACAGATGATAATTTCTTATTATTTACTCCAAAATTTATGCCTTTTTCTTATGAACTGTTTAAGTTCAATATTCACATCTGGACCTCATCTTGGGTATAGAATCCATCAAAATATTTGTTTGCTAAAACATATACTTCATAACTATTGTTTTTCTTACACTGCTCTGTCTTCTTAGGAATCATATACATAGAAGAGTGACCAAGGCACAAGGCAAGGGAATACCAGTAGCAGCACCCAGAATCATAACCATTTACCAACTAGTCACACTTTTCTTAAAATATATTCCACCAAATGTGCTACATGTACTTCTACATCTACAAGTATGAAAACAAATCCTATGAACCTAACGTAGAGAAAAAAGTTATTCCACACTACAGCAAGTCATCAACATACAGGTGTACTTACCTGTGTTGGAAAAGAAGTAGCATATCCAACCTCCCTGTAGATCACTTGGCCAGCTGCCACATTGGACATGTACGTTTGCTCAATGGGTGTCAACTCTTGTTGTAAGCTAAATAAATCACAAGAACTCCCTGATATGAGCTTATGTTTGCTTCTTTGTCAACTTTTATAAATTGTCCACTAGACTTGACTAAAATCACATGTAGTTGCTTAGCATTTGATTTGAGGGTTATTTTCAATTGGTCAAAACAGAGATTATAGTGAATGATTGAACAATAGAAATATGTTGGCATGCTAAAATACTTTTTTGATCCTTAGACCACTTAAACTCACTTTTTGTGCCAGTCAGACTCTCTGAACTTCGCAGCTAAAACTTCACTCACATCTCTGCTCTCTCCTTCAACACAGATAAAACATCATTTAAACAACCACAAGCTGAAAGGTTTTCTTTAATACATGTAGTAGGTCTTTTTTTATTTTATTTAATATACATATATACTATATTCACCTGTGTGTTATGAGTGAATGGACAGGTACATTAAGATATTTTTGAATGTGTAAAAGTATCTTACCCAAATGAAGACATATTCCGTAAATAATTAGTGCTCTATTTGTAATAGAAGAAGATTAATTGTTTACAATGCTGATTCAAACAGCATGTAAAATATCATGTGGCCCGAACAATCACCGATTACTGGGTATACTTACCATCACTGGGGTGAATCTTTGCATGGCTATGATCTGAAAGTTTCAATACATGAACATGAATTAGTTGAACTGAGTGTGCTTTCACCATGAAAACATACTTTTTAATCAATGAAACCACATTCCGTTGATTTTCTGTTGGAATTAATTACATAAATAAGTTATTTCCCACATCAATACAGTAATCTAACAAAATGGATACATATGTATATATACATATAGTATATGTATAGGTATACTACATACATTTATTATACACTAGCACTAATATAGTACTTATATATGTATTGCAAACATTGGAATTTATACTACAGGTGCTGAGGTTCCAAACAAAAGAACAAATACCAAAGGAAACCACCAATATATGGCTATGGGATAGAATCTATCCATATGCACTCATAACTTTCATTCCAAAAAGCCAGACTGTGAAATTCTCTGACACACACACTTGGTGATCCATCAAGTGGCAGGCAATCTTAACTACTTTTTTAACTTAGGAAAGCTCCACACCATGAAACCCCTAAGTATGGTATAAGTCACCAATATGAATGTAAAAATATGCATGTATAAAGAAAGAATGAAATTGTGTTACCTTAGTTAACTAATAGCAGTGCATAAAGGGGGCATAAATAGCATCTCAATATTTCAGATTATGTTTTTGTTAGTAAAGAAAATATAAATGTCAACTGAAAATCATTAGTTCCAAACTTCATACACCTCTATTGCCAACTGCCAAAACCACTAAAATGCCAAACAGTTAAAATACACTTGCATCACATCCCAGGCATCTAACAAGCAAATGTATCTATGGTTCATCTGCATGTTATCTGTAAACTAGTCACTAGGTTAGCAAACGCTAGAAGATATCTTAATATCAGTCAGCTAAATATAAACCCCAGTATTATTTCACAATACAAGCTGTTCAGTAAGTGCACATACACATTGTATAAAGGCTACACTAGCTGCTGTTATTAACATCAAGCATTTCACCTTCTCTGTTACTATCAAGGAGCTCCATGGTTTCCTCATCCATCAAGTGCTTAGAAACTTAGAAAACAACAGGAACTCATGCTAACTTGAAGTTAAAGATGGGATTATTTTTGCTTAAACGTATGTTAAATTTTAAACAAAAAGTCCTTTATTCAAATAGGCACAAGGAGACTGAAAATAAAACATCCCAATGATAATTAGGTTGGGTGACCTTAATATACTTTTTCATTCTTTTCTTAATTTGTTTTGACTTGAGGAGAATTAAGAAATTCATCACAATAGCATCTTTTATGTACACACACAAAAAGCTATATGAATCAACATTATCATTTAAACTAACTTAAAAACCAAATAAGCCCAAAATAAATTTAATGCTTAAAGTCTCTCAGATTGAATTAGATACTAGGGCCAGAACAAGATAAAAAGAACAAAATTGTAACTTACGCTGGTCTATAGAGGTCACTGCTGTAGAGTCCCCATTGATCACATCCAAAAAGAAATCGGGCGGATTATTGTGTTCTTCACACTCATATCCTGCAAAATTTAAATGCAATTTCTCAATCAAATTCATGATATACCAGGTAAACATCATGCAAGCATTTCTCATTTAAAGTAATACAAAAAAGTACAATTTTTTTAAATGTATGTAATGTCAACTGGTCTCTGACTCAATAGACTTCATTTCCCAGTACAATGAATTAACATGGTGAGGGTTTTCATCCAACCCCTCTTCTATAGCTGCTAATATATATAGGTATAAAGATATTTTATCATTTCAATACCCATGTGAATATACTAGATCAATCTTTAAAAACAATATATATAATCCTTGAAATTTCACAGAATTAAACAATTTGTGGCAATCCTCAGTCTGATTAATCAAAATACATTGTCAGGTTTACAGAAAAGTTTTAGGGACCGTTCACATGCAAAATCTATTTTCTAAAAATCTAAAAATCTATTTGCGGTATTTTGTGATCACGGTCTGTGCCCTGAATACCCGCGGCGTAATTACTGGCAGCGCCGAGAATTAATTACAGCTATGGAAGAAACTGGCTCGCGCTGCCCGTAATTAAGCCGTGGGGTTAGCTTATACTTCCTACCAATAGAGGAAAAGTACTGTAGGGCCTCCTTGCATGGTCCATGGAACACACTCTCTCCCTGAGACAACAACATAATACTGTCAAACAACCTGAATATGGAGTACCTGGGCTGGTGAACTGAGAAGATGATGGTGTTTCCCATGTGAGCAAGTCTGAAGAATAACAGAATAATTTTACATTAAAATACACGAGAACAGGCAAATCAAGTATAACTTTAAAGTGACCAAATTTAATTAGAAAAAGTCGTAGTCTTGGTTTCGGAGAAGCATTTATGAAGATTTATATTCATAAGATGTGCAAGGATGCAACACTTCTAGTCCAAAATACTTAAAGCACTTAAAGGGTACATAAACCAGTACAATGGTGATATAATAAACAATTAAAGAAGACCTATTGACATGTTCATAAATCAAATATAAGCACTGGATTGCCTCCCCCTAGTTATCAATGACAACATCAATGACAATATCAACGACAATTAACACCTATAATGATATGTACCTCTTCAGCAGTAACATAACAGAGTTAGCTGTGCTGGCATCAAGCCCTGTTGTCGGCTCGTCCAGGAACAGTACAGTTGGCTGGATGATCAGCTCCATGCCAATATTGGTACGTTTCCTCTCACCTCCAGACACACCGCGGATGAATTCATTGCCAATCTGCAATAAATAGAAAAGAGTTTTAAAAAAGTAGTTGCACCTAAACTGAAAACATCTTATTACAATAAGGATTAAAATAGAGATTATGCATAATCTATAGATTGAAATTTTACCCAGAAATCCATCTCTAAGATGATGTAGTTTGCATGATCACCAGGATGCTATTAGACATTTTAAAATGGCAGCATTTTTTTTTTTTTTTTTTTTGTAAAAAAATATCAATTTTGTTTCAAGAGTTTCTCATTACAAGAGCATTGTGTCAGTTCATTTCCTTGGTGATTTTGTAGCTACTGTGTGAAAATGGTCTTCAAAACAGAATCAAAGTTATTTTTAGAAAGGTGGGGCTCCATTCCATCCGCTAAAAATATTTTTAACCTATTTTCCCTACAGGGAGTTATCAATTTGGTGCAAAAGAAAATTTAAAAAACTGAGATGCTCTTGTTCCTCAAATGTTCCATAGCAATCATTAAAAATGCCAACACTAACAAGTTCATGAGACATCAGACACTGCCAACCTTAGTGTCCGCACAATGTGTCAATCCTAGATCATGTATTACTCTCTCAACACGTGCTTTTCTCTCTTCCTTGGTCACTGTCTTTGGGAGGCGTAGTGCTGCAGAGAACTGGAAGTTCTCCTTAACTGTGAGAGTTCCCATAACAACATCATCCTATAAACATATATACAAGTAGTTTAGTCAGTTTGTATTTGGTGTGGGAAAGAAATAAGAATCACTCTACCATTAACCAAGTATTAGCCATAGCTATTAAAGTAAAAAAAATTAGCCAATTAATACCATAATAAATTGGTAAACTAATAAAAGACATCTTTCATTCATTTTCTTCAGACAAAGTAAACACATGTAAGTTTAAAGGGATAAAACTGTTCATTTTGGCCAAAAAATAAATTTTCCTGGGGTAAACAGCAATTTTCCCATACTTACCAAAGGTTAATAAATCCATTTCTACATTCAAAGTTAGTCCCCTTTTTTTTCTAAAAGGTTTGTTTTTTTTGTTTTTTGTTGTTTTTTTTGGTAATAATGTCTTAAGAGTTGTTTATAGTGTATTTATTGTGAAATATAGATCTCACATGTTGTTATCCCTTTAGTTTTCAGATTTATTAAAAAGCTTTTCATGCTAGTGTGACCAACTTATAATTAAGACACTCTATTCTTATAAACCTGCACAACATATCCAGACATGCACTTGAAATTCTCTGGCTGAGGATGCCCATCCACTAGTAGTAACCCACTCAGGCCTTTCTTCTCTTTCCTGCCAGCAAGCACGTCTAATAAGCTGGAATAACAGAGGAAAATATAAATGATTATGATTTAAATGACATGAATAAATAATAATGTACACGCCCACTTATCGTGCTTATATAGAACTACAAATACTAAGTTAGCTGATGCACCTCTGGGATACACCATACAAATAGGTACAGTATAAACAGTACACTGCACAGAAATTATGTATATAAAGAGACTTTCAGACAAAAGAGTAAAATAAAATGCAGCAGTTTGCTTCACCGATGAATGCTTTTTTTTTTTTTTTTTTTTGTCTTAATTGACCATACCTTGATTTTCCACTTCCAGTTGGTCCCAGGATGGCATTCATTCCAGGTTTAAAAATACCACTGAAAAGTTAATGTTGAAAGTGTATAACAGTCAGTCTTCACTGTCATAAAATACTGGTATAAAATTGTATGTAGAAAACTAATGTTAATCATTTTATTTAAAAATATTATCTACTATAGACTCTAATTGGGCATATCAGTATATATATATATGACAATTTTATTAATTTTATTTAAATATATACATAATCGATTTTGATCGGGGAATTTGCTTTCGAGTAGGCAAGTGTGGTACTCTTAAGTCGCTTTACAAAGATGTTAATAATGTAAGTGGTTTTTAGATTCATTGGCCAATCAAGATGACAGCCGAGCGCGCCGAAGTAAGCATGTCATATGACATGTATCACATGTGTGAGCTTTTCCTCTGTGGCAACCGACCGAGATTGCAACTGTCATTTAATACCTGACATCTTTGAGTATGTGTTTGTCCACGTTGCCACCACAACAACCCTTTGACACCTGTACTGTGTAGCCAATACGATGGAAAGAAACCACCGAGCCTTGGACAGCCAGACCCTCCTCTGGCATCACAACACTAGTGCTGCCGTATCCGCCGTTGGCCTGATGAGGTTCGCTGGCAAGATCTGTTGGCTTTTGCAGAATCGGTTCCTGTTTGTTAAAAGAAACAGCTGTCATTTCAACGCCATCATTTGCATCCATTTTGAGTGCTACAGTATGAACTGTTTTGCAAAGGACATTATAAATAATAAATTGAGCATGTGTTGTAGCTATCACAGGCTAGTTACGTAATTAGTTTATATTTGTACCAATAGGTGGGGCTATGTTGACAACTTTTTGAAGACAAGCCTAATCTTAGTATAGTGGAAAAAGGGGGTGGACCTTGGTTACCGCTTGCATGGTTATAACGTTAACTAGGCCCAGCATGTAAATGTACGCGTTTTAATTGTCACTATTTCATTGATTGGAAATTTAAGGCATCGGCTGGGGGTGGGGGTGGGGGGTGCTATCTCTGAAACTCAGGGTAGCGTAGCGCATTCAATTTGTTCTACTTCGTCCAATACCACACCTCCCACAATTGGCCCATCAACCCTGTGAACCATATATTTCATTCATTAAAAAAATTACTTTTCGGGGGTTATAAGTAAATTCATAGCCTGTGGTCACGAGAGGTATTCGAGCAACATACCAAGCAGACCAATGGTCTATATCATTTTTGCTGTAATTTTATCAATTTAATGATTTATCCATTCAGTCAGTCATAAAATCAGTATAACAATCGGGACAATTCACATAATTTGTTTTATGCTCAAACTTCTATTTTAAATTCGTTAATTTTTTTTTATTTTAAACTTCTATATCAGTGCTCCTAAATATTAATTAATTATTATTTTTTATTTATTTTCATATGTGTAATTACAAAAAAGGCCCTATGAAGGATCATTTTAGAAAGCGTACGTCATATGGTCCCAAACATACCTTTTCCCCGTGTGTCATTTTGTTTTCACTTCTGTAAATGCCTTTCGGTGGTCTTCTATAACTGTTGTCAGACGTACTGTATGGTACACCTCCAGATGATGTGAGAAGCAACCCTCGCGTGTCCTTGTATATATTAGGGTATATTACTTGTCTAATTTACAAAACAGTTATTGTTACGTAAATATGAATAAGGCATTTCCAATTGTAATGGGCGATCTTTATACCGTTAAGGCCTTTGGCCTGCCAAGGTTGGGCTAGATATCAGTCAGTTGTGTAAGTAGGCCTATAAGATAACGCCCTGAACAACGCATTGTACGGTATATATGTACCTATAGGAGGTTTAAATACTCATTCTTATCGCCATCTGGTCTAAAAACGTGACATGTTATTTTTGTTATCGTACAAAACGAATAAATAGATCTCTATACTGTTCCTTGTAGCGTTAATTAAGATACATTTGCATGTCATAGGATAACTAAATCAACCAATCAATCAATAAGAATAAGGTTTTAAGTTGTACGTACAATATATTTCTATATTGAGAGATTCATTCTAAATCTCTGCGTTTGAAAATTCTGGTGTATTTTTTTCATTTTATATTTTGTGGTATACGTAGGTGGATAAGTAGGCCTACATGCATGTACATGTAGGTGGTACTCTTTTCCGTCATCTGTTCTTTCATTAAAAGTCATTTAAAACATGGTTGAAGTTGATCCTTCAGGTAATTTTTATTCAAGCTCACCAAGCGTTGACTCATATTCCTAAAAGATGAAATGAGGGTTTATTTAGGCTATTTATTTATCTTTATTTGTAACGCGTGGCAATTTTACAGATTTTAATCAACCGATCCATGTTTAAGCCTGTACAACCCCAAATCATCTTTGGCAAACACTATACAAACCGGTCTGTCACGCGGATCGAGTACATTTTAACTAATATATATATATATATATATATATATATATATATATATATATATATATATATATATGCAATTTTTAGAAAAAAAAGTACACGCAAAGTTTTGTAAGCTTTTTTTTTTCTAAAACAAGCAACATTCAATAGGCCTATATTTTAAAAACATAAATTATCTAAACTTGTGATAAACCACAGCGAGTTTGTCTGGTTTGTATTTGTGGCATCCCAGTAATCATTCCATAAGTATTTGTATAGATTTGTATAATTTTTGTTAAGTTGTTATGACTAGTGTAGAAAGCCTGTAAAATGTAACGTCTACACATTTTAGTGCTCAATAAAGATTATATATTTCGTGTAGTGTGCGATCAGCTTATTCAATAGCTTTACCGTTGCTTAGATCATAAAAAATGGTAGTGAAATACGGCGGCCAGAATGTTAAGTTGCAGGGCTGGTAATTATACAATTAACATTGCATAGATAATGTGTATAATCTTTAGCAGTTATCAACCTCTCAAAAGGCCAAATATGTTTACTGAAAATTTAACAATGTGGTAAGCAAAACTACTGCCCCCTAGTGTCAATTTTAAGAAGTAACTAAAATCGGATGCTACAAAGAATGGGAATGTGGCAGAAAACTAAAGAATTCATGGCCTATTGGTATCTGCAGTATATCATGAACACTGCCCTGTATATGCTGGAGCCTTGGGAGAGGAAGCTGTTCAGTATCCTTTTAATTTAATACCAGGTATCAATGTTAAACTCTAGTGATAGTGTTGGGCTGGACTCATCTTTTATTGTCACCAGCAGTGACAACGATGAGGGTCCATTAGTTGCTAGGTATAAAAGTAATTCTTTGCCTAATCTCTGCGTGAAATCGTCCAAATCCCATAAGTAGATGGGACTGGGGCTTGTATGTAATCTCACGTTTTCAGATCGGGTAGTAACTTAGTAATAAGTGTGTCATAGCACTACAGAACAATGTCTAAAAGAGTTCACATTATCAGTCTCTAGCATTCTTCTTCATTATATTTACATTTACAATAGTTATAGATCTATAATGAATATAAAAAACACAAAAGAGTGCTTGAATCTGATTATTTGATCTAGCCATGAGACAGACATTCCGTACCATTGTCAAATTCTAAATAGCCCTTTGTACTTAATATTGCATTTATGTAGATGATTTAATCATTTTCATTGTGTGTATCCCATGTTTGAAATTGACAGCAGTGGGATTATTCTTGCTGAGGCTGTGCAATTTTTCCTTAATTTGTCTCCCAGATTCTGGTTTGATGGTTGTAATTGCCATGTCCTTGTACACTACATCTTGCTTCCTACCAGGACATTTTCTGATGCTGTGGAAATATATTCTCTATCTCGTAGGACTGGAATCACAAGAAACAACTCTTGGTGGCATGGAAACATTAAATGATACCCCAGTGACATCATAGCAAAAGGTTTCTGTCTGAGGGCAGAACATCTGGATTAAGAAAAATTTTATTAAAACTGATGGTGAAAATAGTATTACATGGATACAAAGCACAATAAAAGGTTTCAGAACAGGATGGAAAGTACAGCTGCGAAAAGTTTCCACAATATCTCTGTTCAAGTGGGCAAAGAAGAAGTATTTGGTCCAGGTGTGATAATGAGCAGGGAGTATGCCTGTTGAATGAGGGCCATACATATAGAATGTGGTATCACATTGCTTCACATTGCCTGAGGGAAACCTGTTGCTTTGTCAGCGTGGCCATTGAGATATAGAGGTATCAGTATTCCCAGTATATATTCAAGACCAGCCAGGGACAGACTTGAATGTAACTACACTGATAGTTCAGGAAGAGGCGCATTGAAAAAAAATGCTCTACAGTGGTTACTAACATAGTTACTTAGATATACTTTCAACTGCTTCAGGCTCTGAGGTTTTCATTTTGATGTCATATATATAGGATTTGATATAGGTAAAGTGGAACTCTTTTATGCTTGGTTAAACTCAAACCATGAAAGTACTCCTGCTGTAATCAGTAGATATATTTTTCTTTGAAAAATAAGCAAGGACTATATATCACTGTGTAACGATTATGGAGGATTTGATTACTAGTAATTGTCTATGAACTGAATAGTCAATATGTATGTAAATGGCTATACCTGTTTTGGTCCTGCTATAAATGGACATGTTTCAGCATTTTGCTTTTGACAATGGATAATGGTATTTACACCCAAGAAGAGTTGACATCTCATTGTCATCTCATTGTCAAAAAAAAAGGGGGGGGGGACATGATTTACATTGGTGTGACAATGCAAAGTAAAATTGTATAATACAAACATATGTACCAGCACATTTTTGTTGTATTTTGTTTATTTTAAGGAAAACCTAGTTACACTTGTGAGAGATTTTTACACATGTTTTTATTACATTATTTTCATGGCGTGCATTTTTGCATTTTCTGTCTTTGAAACTGAATGTTATAATCGGGTAGCTATCACATCCACAAATTTCGCCACATCCACCCCTAGGTACAGCCTCACCCAGGGATCATGTGCTGTTACTGTTGTCCCCTACTTTAGAACAAGGTAAACATTTTGCATTTATGGTAATTTTCATGTAAAATGTTAAATCAACCAACCATCATGATCCCCGATTTGTCTCACAGTAATGGGGGGTAATTTCTGAAGATGGAATTGATAAAGACATTTTTATTAAATATTTTGTCTTTGAATGGGCAAGAACAATCAAATTGGAGCGTGGCTTAAAATGTTTTAATTTCAAGGAACAGTCGTTTCCATTTCATTTCAAAACCGATGTTTTGATCCCTTTCTTTAAGAGCAAATTTCCCACATTGTCAGACAGCTCTAGCTCAACTAACACAATAAGTGTCAACACAAATATAGAATAATACTGGAAGGTGGAGCATGAGACTGTAACTCCTAGTTTATTCAAAATATTACAAATTACTGTTTTCGGCAACTTGTTTTTTTCCCCCTATTATTCTCAATGAATACCTCGCACCTAACATCCGTCTACATGCATATTACCCTTGGGACATCGTCATTATATACATACCGGTGCCAGGCCCGTAAACAGCAATTTCAAAAGGGGGATTCTTTTTTTGAAAAAAAAATGGGCCTTTTACCATAAAACCTTCGCGTCACTATATAAATATTTACCCAGGGGGGACCTTTTCCCAGCAAAAAGGGGGGTTTCTGTCGAGCCCCCCCCTCCCCCGGCTACGGTCCTGCATACCTAACCGTCAACGTCATTATAAAGCTAATCGTACAGAAGAAGTATAGGAACTATTCTATTAAGTATTTTACTTTTATCTTTAATGGACTGCTTTATTTTTACGTATTTTGAGGTGCTCCAGACCATTATAATATCAGTATTGCGTTCATGGCGTTAATATCCTCTTATTTGCATCTTACTACTTTATGTAGAAGGCTAATCTAGTGAAGTCCGGAAAAACAACCCATGGTAGACCTACATAAAAGGGTAAAAAAGGTATTTATGATAAAACCGGTATTTTACCAATTATAACCTCAGAGGGTGTCACGATAAGTCACATGTGACATTTAAATTAACCCAGGTTGGCACGAGTCACGAGGTAATGCACAGATCACAAGATGGTGCGGTTTACCGTTTCATTTTTTAGATTCCTTAATTCATGTATTCAAGTAACCACTTGCACAGATCTGAGTTCCTACATAAGTATCACATGAAACCGTTTTTTGCACTTCTAAGAAATGTTCTGGCGAGACGGAGAGAACGTCTTGTCTAGGGGGCGGAGGGTCCTCTGTTTGGTTTGGAAGATGCTTTCTCAGTATCGGGTCATTTTTTAAAATAAAACTGCTATAAATGACCTTGTGTTCGCTCGAGTGATTCCCTTTTGAAAATGTCATTGGAAAGCTTCCAAAAGAAGTCACATGAAAACAACTCATTTTGCGTAGGTGACTTTAAAATATATGTAAATGAGTTCACCGACTCATATCATAGAGGAAACGGTGTTGGAACTGGGCTCAGTTGCCTGTATTCCATGCTTGTAACTTAGGCCACAGCAAATCTCCGGGGTAAGTGCTTCTGCTGTGATGTGTAGTTAATGATGAAATATGCAACATTCGCAGCTGCATTATGCGTGTCATTACAATGAATTTTTGTTTGAAAAGATAAATCTTAACTACCTCGAATCACTATACTGATAATTCTCCTCGCAATATTTAATTTACTATTTTGGACTACTTGTTAATATCATGTAAATATCATAGTTGGTTGGGGGAGAAATCGGCCCGACTGTGTCATATTTAACCTATTTTAAAAGAAGTGTGTTTGTGGTGGTGGTGGGTATTCCCTATTTGTTTTGGAAGAGGACAGTAACATTATGTACTTTATCTCAGGCATGAAGTGACCGCTACTATACATGACTATAACGCTATCGTCATTATTCTGCTTATAATACACTGTTCACCTGACTGACTGCATCCTGCATAACTGAGTAGTAACTGTCAATAAGCCTTTGTCACATTTACATGTTGCTTGGCCTACATTAGCCCAGTCTACTCGTTGACTTCCCTTCCTCATAACCAGGGTCCAAAATTTTTGAATCCTAGGTTATAACCATGTCTTTTTATAGAAGCGTTATTACACGTACTTGCGCATTTCGCTTTGATTGATTGATTAATTGATTGACTGACTGATAAAGATCAATAATTCATGAAGGAAATTGTTTGGGCCTACAGGAACAAAGAAATAAGAGGGGCATTTTAACCTGACTGATGATAGGTAGAAACTAAATCAAACTTCAACTTACAGGGCACATGCAAGTCTCGTTTAGTTAATTTTTAATTACATGATGTCACCCTTCCCCAATGTTCACCGTCCCCTCGGCAATAACGTTGCTCATTCACAATGTTCTACGTAGATCGACCCAACTCCGTGGGGACTCTTGCTGAATGCAGTCAGATTAATAGATAAACACGCCTCTTGTTTCCAACGCATGTTTATAATCAGCAGCTTTTCTGTACTCTACTCAACGCCAAGAGGATCGAGTCGTGGTAACCTCGAGCTCTTATCTGATAGCATTCGGCGAAGAATCCCACGGAGTTGGATCGATATACGGAGAACGATGATTTCACTGGAAATAAGCCGTAAGTGCACAATGCAAGTTCTTGTTTCACAAAAGGTTATGCCCGACCATGAACCTTGGTGTGTGCTTATGTAAAGAACCCACTGGTTACAATGCTCGGCTGACTGCTTACCTAACAGACGACCTAGGATATCAAGACCACAGGGATGTTGCCTTTGTACCTGAGTGGTACTACCTCCAGTTTTTGTGCTTTGGTGATTTTCGTTTTACATGAAGAGAGAAGATTTTATCAAGAGACAAAAGACGAGCTAAATCTAATATGACACCGCCAACAGTGGCTGCCTAGTCTTACGTTGTACTTTTAGCCCGTTCAATAAAAACACGTCGGTCACTTTGACATTTTTATAATTGTAACTTCGGTTTAAAACCGAAAGCTGCTATGTTTGGTATTTATTTCTGAACTGGCAGTATACTGAACAGGTAAGTTCAAGATTATCATTGCATGTCTCATCCATCCATATCTTCCGCCCCCAAACATACAGTTACACTTCACTCTCCAGCACGTGGAGTGCATTGCTTTACCTATATGAATAGGGCGCTTTTCTACGGTGTGACGTGTCTATCTGGGCGTTTCTGTGGTCAGACCGTCTTACACAATCTCTCGTAATATTGAATTAAGTTGTGTTACTGTTTTTTTAAACATTTTTATGTAAGACATAGATGCACAGGAAGAACGGTTTATATTAAAGGTGAAAGTGACAAAGGCACAGTTGTACAAGAATGTCATAGGCAAAAAGTATTCTAGCGTCGAAAATGCAACTTTCCTACAATAGTATTTAGTAGCAGTATTTACTTATTAACGTGACATGTGATATACATATACAAATCACCCGGCCTCATGGGCCTACAAGTCACCAAACTTTGTACCTATATCAGAAACAAAACAAAACATAACAAAACAGAAAAAACTATGATTAAGGTTGAAAGTTATAACTAAGCAAACACTATAATTTATGGTACACTCAACTCTTGAATGTAATGTATTTTATGTTGATTTGATTGATTATCACTATATCATACGAATAACATTAGAAAATGTTGATTTTGTACTATATTTTCTCCCGGTGGTTTGAACAAGTTCTGCGCAAGTGACGTCGGTTTACCTTTCATTATTGACACTGTTGACTGGATTACGAAAACTAGGGCAAATACATGTACTTGGAGGGTCAAAGTAACATTTTATAATGTACTTTTTTGTGCTAAGAATTTAACTGCACTGGGCCACCCTATATAGCAATGTGCACGTTTTTCAGAGTTACACGCGAGAAAAAGTTCCTAATTAACCGGTCAACAGATAGAGAAATACACCCTGTGTGTGTGTGTGTCATCCAAATTTAATTGAGGCTGCTATGTATAACTCTGTTTAGGCATTGGTTTGAACGTGACCTTTTACGCAAGTTATGAAACCTAGGGTTGAATCGGTAAATGAAGTGTGATAAAAGAATACGATATACATGTGTCAGTATAAAACTTAACTGCTTTTTGCACATATCCATGGTGTAGAGGAGGGCCTAATTGAGGGCATCTTGTACAGCATTTTAACAAACCATTTTTCATGTAGTACAAACATAAGACTTTTTTAAAATTTCATTTCATGGTTTGCGACTGGGCCTCGGCGCCACTCCTGAATGTCAAGATGACTGCGATCCGCTGCCTCAAACTTGCGATCTTGATGTGCTGCATTTCTATCGGTTCATGCAGTTTGACCGTGGATGCCGGCATCGACAAGGATGTCAGGGTTGTCATTTCTTCTGCGAAGCCCGTCTCCAGTCTCACAGGGCAGCACGAAAGAAACACAAAACACGATTCTCGCGAGTTATTAGGCACGCCAGCGAAGCTGATTGAGACGACAATCGAAGATGATGACATTATGGACGTCAATTCAAAATGCGGTCACCACAAAAATCCCTCAGAAAATCAAACACTGGTCAGTGGATGCAAATACAAGTTCTTTGCAACTAACCCAGACATGATGGCAAAAAGCTATTTATTTGGATGGGTTGCCATTAAGAAAATCGTAAAGGAGGGGTTTACGTGCTTCTTTGTAAACTATGAGTGCAGAAACATAATTATTGAAGAAAAATCGAAACAAAATTCCCACTGGTCAAATGATTTATGTGAGTGGAGGGTGAGAAAAGGGAGTGGTGATGACTATTTTTACGTCCCTGCATTTCCTTACATGAAGCTCTCTTTTGACCAAAATAAGGACTGCAATGCTTATGCAGGACACGAGGAAAATTACATTGGCACTTGCATCCCAAAATGGGACCGCTTTGGAAGTCGTGACATTGCTGAGAATCAACTCATTTTAGGATCTGAAAATGATCACATTCCTATGGGTCGGTTATCATGGTACAATCCCTCCATGAACAACTCAGTAAATATATCATGTCAATTAATAATAAGGAATAGAAACAATGGCCGAGTTGCTTTGTTGATAGCAAACTACGCAAAGTACATAGATATTATAGACAATGGAACAGTGAATAAATATTCCCCCGTCATCGTCTCGGGGAGTGATACACTAGAGATTATTTTCACCGAAAACTACCACAAGGATACTTTTGACGGGATGCAAAATTATATGACACTTTCATATCTATTTTTGCCAAATGCCCAAAAAGCGAGCTCTTACGTTTTCCCAACTATAACCGACTGTGGAAAATCATTGCAGATATTGGACTTTGAGCATTCTATAGTGATTGATAAAGTTGATATATCCGAGGATGAAGTATACGACTGCGTATGGACCATACCCGTCAAAGGAAGAAATCTGCACATTTACTTTGAGGAGTTTGATATTGGCAATACATCTAGTGACACATTAAATGATTTGTTTTCGAATCCAGTATACGACGAGTGGGGGAAAGATAGTTTCATGACACTTACGGCTTATCGTTCGGACAACCGTGGTGGCTTTTTCATTCGCAAATTTGACACTGAAAGTACTAAGTCGAACACGTCGGTCTTCCTTGACCTGCCTCCCGACTCGTTGGCTTTGTACCTGCGAACAAGAAGTGTGAAGCATAATGGCAAAGGTTTTCGTTTGACGATGAATCTATTTCACACTGGTAATGCCAGCATAACAAGACACGAGACGGTGTTCAAGTGCGGCAACTCTCTCTACGTCGACTCCTCAGCGGTGTGTGATGGACATAATCAGTGTGGAGACAATTCCGACGAGGATGCCGACCTGTGTGCCTCACCGAGGACCGGTTTTAACAATTGCACTCGGTCTCCCAGCGGCTGTTTAATGCGTAAACCAACAGATGTGTTGGTGGTTGACAGTACCCCGTGTTGTGCAGACAATCCTCTGACAGAACCGTGTATGTATCTCCGCCCTAACGACACTTCTGAGTTTGAGGAATGCTGCCCTAAGGAGGGAACCGGTGTTGTATGTGCAGTTCCTCCTCCTCTTCCAAATTTTTGGGCAGACAACATGTACTGGTTCATCCTAGGTGGAATTATTTTGCTTTTACTTATCTTTATTATTTTGATTCTTCTGTTGGCTCTGCGCAGAAGACGGCGGAGGCGACCTTACACTAGGGTGGCAGAGACTGCACCTGAAGGTGAAGGCCCTGCTCCTACTGCGACTCCACCCACTCCTCCTACCTCGGCTCCCCTTACGACTGATCCTGGAAATAACGAACCAGCCGACTCTGGAGAAACAACCCCACAAAGGCCACACTCAAGTAGTCCAAGTTCAAGCTCAAGCTCAAGTTCTACTACTGAGCCACAGCTTGGTCCAGTAGAAATAGAAGCCCCAGCGTTGCGAGCTATGGTGGAGGCTGTAGTGAACCAAGAAGATTCATAGGGAATTGATATAAAAAAAGGAAATTTAACGCAAGAAGACACTAGTATAAAAGTTCAATTTATATGGCACTGGATTAAAACTGGGAAGGAGAGGGAATTTTGGTATTGACGAATGGCGATTGAAATGCATTATAGATCAATATAATAGGTAAATACCAGGTGTACAGGCTTTTCACACCACGTTATATCATGTAGGCCCTATCATGCTGGGTACACAGTACAAATGAATCTCAGTACAAATTCTTTTTGATATCGGATTGCTGTCTTATTCAGCAAAAAAATGATCACAATTACTATATTCCACCTGAAACTTTTTGTTAACTGTATGGTACTCGCCGTTTTATATTTTTTTTAAAGATAGTTAATAAGCATAATATTATAAAGTATGATATTTAAAGTGTCGTATGTGTTTTGTAACTGAAAAAATTTTTTTCTGATAAATCATGTCACTGGAATTGTTGCTGGCTTTTTAATGGAAATACGGACTTTCTATTCTACATAATTTAAATCAATTTTTCTGATCAATTATTTTCTTTTTCTTTTACTTGACCATGTTTATAATATTTTTATATTAAAATTGTAGTTACCTCTATTAGACATTATATGGTTAACAGACTTAAAATTAACGAATTATTATATAATTATTATATAGTTACGACATAGTTTTTATTATATAGTTACGACAGTACAAACGTATTGGATATCTTCAGCTATTTTTCATTAGAAAAGTTGTACAAATATGTTTCCCAAGCTGCGTAATTTTCTTTGTAGGTTTTACTGTCTTTATTTTGCTCATTTAGTTAATCTAAAGGTAATTCATTCTTCATGATATAACAGTGTATCAAATGGTAGCATATTAATTTCGAACATTCATCGAAAAGACAAGGAGTAGGCTATCTGGAGACAACTTTTTGATTTGGCACGGTTTAGGTCCCATTATTATAGCCTACATGTATGACAATTGCGGAACCGGAGAGATGGGGGCGTGGGAGGTGGGGCAAAGTTTTACGTGCCTCAAATTGAAAGCAAAACATGAGCATGCATGTATTTCTACTGTGCATGTTACATCACTGGTATATATCTTAACTTTGCATTTGTTTGAAGATATTTGATTGCATCAGTTCCTCACAAGCTAACCAATAAAATGTTTTGTCCAATACATGGAACCGGAGAAGATTGATTGTGCCCGGAAGTGACGTGCAGTGGTGTTAGAAGCGAAGCTGAGTGGTCATTTTAACATAGAGGTGAACGGCAGTGAAGACGGATTGTCGGAGGAAAAAGAGGTTTTCTAAACAACATGGTAAGATAACTCTCTTTTTTTACGCATTTTGGGCAGAGAATACTTGTAGAAATAATAGACGCATGATATGAAAACGTGACACGGAACTTGAAAGTGCAAAATCGTGCTTAATTTGCGGTCAACTTGTTTAGAAATAAATGCTGCGTCGACCGCCAGCGCGACAAAAAGCGTAAAGGGGAAATAATTCCCGGGAGTCTATAAATCGTTGTCATGTGGAAATTTGGCATTAATATAATCCGATATGTCNTATTTTATTTAAAATTTTGATGCGTTGCTTTGAGGTCGAGGCCGGGCTAAATTTTAATTACATTTAAAAATTATTAATGTAAAACATTCGTACGTGTAGGCCTAATATAGGCCCTATCCAACTTTGTCACACTTTTGCCTCCTCTCAATTGCTGTTGATATACTTTATCGGTAACACCTTCAAAAACCGCGATTAACACTGACAGGAGAGGTTAAAGGTTTATGCTCAAGAGAGACGGAATGAGAGAGATGGAGAGAGAGGGAGATAGAGGGGAAGAGGGAGGTAGGCCTACTGCGCTACAATGAAACCGGAAGTCAATAATATTCCTACGCTCTTTATCCATCTTAGTACGGACCATGAGAACAGCTAATAGAAGTAATCTGTTTATGTAATCTAATTATAATCTAGACCTAAGTTTTATTCAAGAACATAGTCGTACTTCATGTCTGTATGGTACGGAAAATTTACAGAAACAATGAAATTAGTCCGGTTGCCATGCTACCAACGCGGATGTAACATAAACAACGTAGCTGTTATAAAGTCCACTCACATTTCAGGGTGTTGGATCATATGCATAGAATAGGTTGTTGTAGTTTCACGGGGTTATACATTTTATAATCTTAACTAGTTTAGATTTGAGCAGAAAACGACATGTCTGCATCAGGACAACAGTATAAAACAGGACAGTTGTTGGATCCACAAACAGCCAGCAAACTCGGGGAATCACGTGAATCCTGGTGTGCGGTTGAATTGCAAAAGGAGCAGAGTTGGTGCAGAGCTAACAGGCAGCATTACGAAATGCATTTGAAGAGTACTGCTTTTGACATGAGGGCACCAGAATCAGAGCCCCGGTGTGCGTGGAAAGTTGACAAACCAACACACAAAGAAAGAAGACACTTTCCTACATGCACCAGTAAGTACCAGTACACGGCATTGAATGGTAACTTAATTAAATATACAAAGCCGCATGTTCTTTTTACTTGTAAATGTCGTGGATGAAAATAACCCATTTACCTGTACATGTTATTTCATGAGTATAGTATATAACTCAGCAAATTCCATAACTGTATACATATTTACATGATGCTCAATGTAAGGTACTGTACAAGTACCAGGCACAAGTACCCAAAAATATACATGTTAAAGAATTGTTGGTTTTTATATATTTAATGTGAATGTCATACTTTTTTTTCCAGATTTATCACACCTGAAGATATAGAATAGGGGAGAAAACTATAAAAAAACTTTTTCAAACAGAACAATTGTTTCATCACAGAGATGACAATGAATTTTACATGGGCAAACTGCAATCAATATCAAAATAAAAATGCCAAGGAATACAAGGTTATGGAGGCATATGTGCATGGAACTTGCTCAACTGTTTCCTTTTTGGGAACATTTATCTTGTGGATTTATAGAAGGGAAATCTCTGGAAAAAACACCACTTTGTAGGGCACATAATCAGATAACAAAATCTGATTGAATTTGAGAACTAGTCCCTCAAAAGAAAAAAAGACAAGGAATTGCTCATGAAGTGTTTTTTATTAATCATGGGCAAAGATTCAACAGTTTTGGTTGAATGCTGATCAATCATTTATTCTTTGTTTTATATGTTTGCTCAATTTCACAATGTGTCATACCATTAAAATAAAACAATGCCCTTGCTGAAGATTTGTATTGACATCTTATTCAAAAATTTATATATTCACACATTTTCATCTAGTTGTTTCTTAGAAAATGAGATCATCTTGTTTACTTTAATAAATACTATCAAAAGCATACAATAGCTTGAGTTTTAATTGATGCTACTCCAACTAACTAATATGAAATATTTAAATATTATAAACAGTTATCACAAGCACCATCGAATGTGCTTAATCAGATTGATTTCACTTTTAGGTTTTTTAAACGTCGGTCTTAATGTGCTAATGAAGTGTAACAATATAAATCATGCATAAAAAATAATACAATATATATAATAGTGTGTTTATGTGCACACAGTTAGTTTTGTGCATTGCAAAAAAAAAAAAAAAATCAGAAAATGCCATTAACTTTATGATTAAAGATTTAATTTTTTTACACGACTTTCTTCACATGGACATTTTTTAATAGCTAGGATTGTTTATAAGTTGGGCAATACAGCTTGGAAAGTTTAAATATCTTGGTGAAATCTGTGAGGCACAAATCTAACCCTTAAGTTCTCTATCATCTGGAAGCCACATTTTAAATGCAGTAGAAGTGATGCTTCATTGTCTGTCTCAATGTACAGAAATGGGTTATGTCCAACTTGTAAATGTTTTTTGGCCAATGTGGTGATGACATACTTTGCACACCCTTTCCCCCTGTGTTCTGGTGTCACATACAACATCCCCATTCCACCGTGTTCATTTGTTATCATATAGGCTATGCACTGTCCCTGTGTTGTAAACAGTGCAACGGTTGGTAAATTTTCTATCAAACTTTGAATATATGTCCTCTTTCTTTCTGTACCACCAAACTTCCATTCACTGTTCACCTGATGTGAGTGTTCTGCTGATAGGACACCTTCCGTCAGACTATCTGGGATTGCCCTGCAAGAATGATGCAGAAATGTGTTGTATTTTTAAAATAATAAGTGTATTCCTAAATAAAATACAATTCTGCACTACATGGTAATTTAACCATAGTAATAAGGATGCCCTAGCCTAGTGGCATGTTACAGAGTGTCAGCATAAACTTATTACCAGCAAGATCGATCTACCTCTGTGGGGATTCTTGCTTAAGTGCAGTCAATGTAATCAGCTTAAGTGTCTGACATGCCTTCTCAACCAGCTAAGGGGATAATTAAGCCAAGAGCACAAAAAAGATAATTGCCTCCTAGTTTCTTTCGAGACCCGCACTATAAGTTTTACTAGGGTACTTCCGGTATATTTTTTTTCTGAATGCTCTCTTAGACTAGAGACATTTATTTTCTTCTGATTTGTAAATGCTAACATTTATTAACTGTAAAATTTGTTTATGTAAAAGAATTACGTTTTGAGTAAAGACTCTTCATTACTGGTGTAAAAAATGTGACAGTCTTCTTCTGCATTCAACACCAAGTTAACCCCATTTACTTTTGCCACCTCAGCAAGGACATGGCACAAAGGACTGGGACAAACTGAAACCAAAATTATATTTCAATACTGTCCACTGGGTCATGTAAATTATGAAAGGACCACTTTTAACAGACAGTAGAAAGATCTGGGTGTTTGCACCTTACACTAGGGACCTTTTAAAAATCTGAAAATCAGAGTTTACTAAAACAGGATTAGACAGCCCCATCCCAACCCATCTTAATTTTAATTAAAAGGAGTAATGCTAATAAAGTGTAACAATTGCCTCTTCTGCTTAAAAAATTTATAGGAGCCTTACTTTCAGAGAAAAGACTGTCACTTTGACCTGTTGGTGGATTTTATAGGTAACACTTACACAGGCTTATACAAACAAATAATAACAAACAATAATAATAATAAGCAGCAAATTTGGATTCTGCATATACCAAGGTGTGACTGCACATGTTTACTTCAAACTGCACTAGTTACTCTTATTTGTCTGTCCACAATGCCATATGAATTGGTTTCACTTACCCAATACCATTGACTCACTCCAGTCAATGATAGCACTGTTTTGCAAAAAATCCAGGACTTTTTCCTTTTTATCAGGTACAACATACAACATCAGGAGATAATGATAGCCAGCCTGAGTTTCAAAACATTGTTTAAATGCATCTTACATTCTGTCAATATTTTGTATAATTATTGTAATTATAATTACATGTATCCAAAGTACTGTATTTAATCACTTTACAACTTCAATCAAAACATGGTTAAATACACTGTCTATTGCTATTTAGATCAAAATGGGCAACGTATAATGTTGAAATGATGGGTCAAACAAATAGGTAAGGTACTTAAACATATACACATATGCTTTATATTTAGCTACAAATTACAAAGTGTTTAATGTGAAAATATTGTACATTTTGTATACATTTTAATTTTGTTTGATGGGTCTGTTTTAATTTGGAAAAAAAGGGATTCGGTTTATATTAAATTACCTCATTTTTCATTTTGTCTGGTTTGCTGATCACTACAGAAAATGATGGCCAGCTATCAGTATAGATAAGATTAGGAAACTTGCTGCTCTTGTTCTGAGAGTTCTGTATTGCAGTCATCATCTGTCACAGAATATAGTCAGATACAATACATGTAAATCAATTTTGTTTCAGATTATCAGCTCAACAAAACAATTTTTTACCAAATCCATAACTTATCAAAATAAAACAGAAAAATAACAAGAAAAAGAGCACACTTCTAGAGGAATGAAAATAAGGTATATAACTTTTGACATATAATTATAAGCTACTAAGAGTACATAGATGTTCAAAGATACACTCTCTATCATGCAGGGCCACAGATTGATTTTTCAGTAGATATTATCAGATACATGTATGTCTTTGGTTAAATAGATCGCTAATCTCTGTTTAATTCAAAATCCCCCTTGGCCTTTATACATGTAACACTCAATACAATGAAGTACCCTTTTCGTCGAGGAAAGAACCAAATACTCAAATACTGCAGAAATAATACTAGTAGGGCCTACGTACATACAATGATCGTGGCAAATCGTTTTCCATATATTCTAAAAGCTGCGTTAGTTCACGGCTATTAAGGGGATTTGCCAACTTCTTTTCAGCCTTATCTTTGTCCATTCTGATTACGGTTCCTGGTAGACCAAAATCTTTCTCTATCCGCCTCTTGTTTACAACGTTACCCACCCCTTTTGTTCGTAGCAGGAAAATCCATGCAGTAACACCCCCTTTTTACGTTTTGTGAGACACTATTTGTCAGAAACGCAAATAGGAGTGATAATGCATACATTTCCGTACAAATTTGTTGGCAATGCCGACCCCGACGTTGACTGTTTGTCTTTATGTTGTGGTGAGGTGAATACGAAATTTGTCGGTTTTATATAGGTCAGAATTATCCGTGCGACCTACTACCAAAATTTATCAGACACCTATACGGTAAGAACCTAGACAACGTACTGTTAAAGCCGAAAACTGGGTTAAGGTCGCACATCGATAGATCTCGAAGTTTCGTTGAACCAAAACATTTTGCTATCCAAAGTTGTTTTTTTTATTCAACAAATGGCCCTAGAAAGCTATAGAGAAATGAACCGTTTTCCCTCTTCTTTTCGTTATATCTGTATCTTTAGAATAAATTTTTGTAGCAATAATAAATCTTCGAACCTTAAAAATTCAGTCCGCCTTCCGTTCATTTTATGCCAGCAAGCTATAATCCAAAGGCTTTCTGGTCCCAATTTTGCCTTTTCACTCTTTCTTTCTTTTTGTTTACTTTTGTCAAATTAAATCAGCTAATGTAAAATAACTGATAAATTATGGGTCACATCGATTATAATTGGAAATTGTTAACAGCAAAAGTAGAATGTCAGTTGAAAGTGTTTTGGCCGTAGCGATAGTCCGAAGGTTCAATAGTCCGAAGGTTCATTGGTCCGAAGGTTCAATGGTCCGAATGTGCATTGAAGGTTCATTGGTCCGAAGGTTCGATAGTCCGAAGGTTCATTGGTCCGAAGGTTCATTAGTCCGAAGGTTCGATAGTCCGAAGGTTCGATAGTCCGAATGTAGGCCCGCTGTATAAGTGTATAGTGAATTACATGTACAGGGGCGGATCCAAGATTATTTGAAGGGGGGTCCGCGGATGCAAAGCCCCCACCCCCTTGGCGTAGGATCTGGGGCCCGCTAAAGGGCCCCGAAAATTGTTGGTGTCTCAAAATGACCACCTAGTTATCTAGAGACACATCTGTGAATATCTGTAAAAAATCTATCAGTCGCCCTGGTAGAGGTTTTAAAAGTTAGGTCTGCACGGGCAAAAATAACGTCAATACTAGCATATTACATTAGTTACAAAAAAAAAACAAAAAACAGATCTTGATGTTTTTCATGGGATTGGAAGTTGACGATATTTAACTGCAAAGGTTTATTTTGTAAAATCAAATGGAAATTTTCTCACGAGTCACAAGTGTATCTACTTTTTGCAGAGTACGTTTTTCTTCGTTTAAATGAATTTGTTACAAAGACAGCATTTTTGATGTTGTTCATCAGATTAGAAGTTTAACTGTTTTAGAATATTTCAACATGTTCAAACTGCCTTCTCACTTGTACTTTACGTTTAATAAATAAATAAATAAATAAATAAATAAATAAATA